AATTTTTCTAATTTTTCTAATTTTTCTAATTTATCTTATTAAATCTTATAAGTATTAATATAAATATAATATATTAAAGTAGTTTAGTATTTATTAGGTCTAGGTTAGCTTATTACTTCTTTTTAAGGTATATTTCTCTTAATTCCACTACCTAGAATCTTTAGTAGAAGTCTTCTAGTTTATCCCAACTTGCGTAATACCGGCTTTAAGACAGTCTAAATGCCACTAGTTGTACACACGTCTATAACGCCCCGGAGTCCTGGCCAAGGGCTTGAAGCAAAAATGCCGCCCGTGCCATTTCCTCGTACTCATCTGCGCCGCTAGTGGCAGCCCCACTCATCTCACCCCGCGGGATACTCACTCCCTCCTTTGATTCACCGCAGCTTGTCTGCGGGCCTGCAACTCCGGCCTGGCTACACTGCCACTGCGCAGACTCTCGCAGGAATTCGCTTGCCCAACCCTCGGAGCTGTTCCCTCCCAACTCTGATGCCAAGGATGATCCAACATAGAGGGGGTTGAATGGGTTCGCCGAGTAGTCTTCTTGAAAATGGGTCATCTCATGGCCTTGTTGGCGATTGTTGTACTGCCTGATCGCCGATGAGGATGCCACTTCGGAATCTCCGTGCTGTTGGGTGATCCTTGATGATGGAGTCGGTGTTCCTGATCTGACGAAACATGATGTGGTCGTTTCAGTGTGAGACCTTGGCTCTAGGCCCTCGACGTCATCATTGTGCATAATGCACCTTAGGGTCGTCTGGTCCTCTTCCTCAGGGTATGAAGCTGGTGTCGATGCGCAGAGGGAATCTATCTCATTCCTAGGTAGACGCACCACTAGATCGTAGCAGTCATCAGCAGAGAGCCGCGACTCTGGTGCAAGAACCACCATGTTGTTTAACAGAAGTTGTGCTAGATCATTGGGATCTTTCTGCAGGGCTTCTTGGAGTCTCGCAACAATTGATTCGCACCAGGCAACACCGTCACTCATATGCCGCTTTTCATATCGGGGAAGACCGTATGCCAGTTCGCACGCCACCACGCCGAGAGACCAGATATCGACAACCGCGGTATAGCCTAGTCTAGTCTCGTTACTGACGTAGCGCTGCGCCTCGGAATAGATCTCAGGCGCAAGATACTTCCGAGTTCCGCAGAGGGTCTTCAACTCGGCTCTATCTCGTGATGAACCAAAGTCTGCTAACTTAACAGAGATGTCGCCATCGAATCGATACTGGACAAGGATGTTGGCCGGTTTGATGTCTCGGTGTGCGATTGGCGCCTCACTCCCATGCAGATATGCCAGGGCTGACAAGCATTGACTAATGATCGTCAAGGTCTCGTTATAGGAGATATCCCCATGGTCCTCCAGAGTCTTACACGGTACATATTCCAGGTACAATTGAGGGTGTGGTGTGAAGGACGACGCGATAAGCTGCACAATGTGGGGCTACCAAGTCGTTAGCAGGAAACCTATACAAACTGGAATGGCGTACAAACATGTGAAATCTGACCCATGATGCGAGCCTCTCGGCGCCATGCCTCCTCGTTGACCTCCCTTTTCTGAATAGCTTTTAGGGTAGGCGCCTTTACGACGCACTCATCTCCGGTGCTGACGTTCCATAGATGCGTCACGACGCCAAACGACCCTTTGCCGATCTTCTTCCTCAGATGGATCGCTCCAGTGCCTGGAGTGTGGGATCCTGTGCAGGGTCTGGTCGGCAGATTTGAGAGACCCAAACCGTCGAGGAGGTCCTCGGCAGTCGCTATGCCCTGCTTGAACCTGTTGACCTTGTCGATGTACGCTGGGGACGTTATGTCATGGAATGGAACAACGATCTGGAGGGAAATGACGCCGGGTACCGTGATAACGATGCTTTTCATTCGCTGGGGAATGATATGGCCGGCGACGATCCATTGGAAATCCCTCCGCGCGCCTTCGCCGTCCCCGTTGTAAGTGACCTGGGTTCCCACGAGAGATATCAAGTCCTTGACAATGGGGCGGTTAAATTCGTCAAAGGTCAAGCTGAAGTGGACATTAGATATGCCCTTGCGATTAAGAGAAACGTCGCAATTTGGATTTGAACCGAAGATGAGTCCCCGGTCGGTTCGTGGAATGTCGCTGAATGTGATCTCGAGGTACGGTAGGTAGTCTAGAGCCGAGGCGCCCTCGTGGTTTTCTGGTGGCTCGGTCGACTCTCGCTCGCCGCGGCTGTATTGAGTGCAGGGGCGTTCAAGTCGGGCAGGCATGTGGCGCGGATCCGCCATGATCGCTGAGAATGCATTCTCGTCATTGTGGGGATACAAATAGGCAATGGTGTCGTTTTCCATGCTGAAAGGTGTTCAGGTGATGGCAAATAGATGAAGAAGAATGCCATTTTAACAGCGAGAAGGGGGTGACGGTTTATAATAACAAATGGGTGCTGTGTTGGACAGACGTTACGGTCCATGATATCCAATGAAGGCCCTTCCCCGCGCTCTTGACCAAAACCTGGCGGCTAACATGCTAAACTGATTGGCCGGCCTGCTTGATACTAGGTACACAGAAGCATTCACCCGAGGTACATCCAATACCCGCCGTATTTCTGTAGCGCCCAATGTACTAACGTGCATTGCCCCACTTCCAGGAGCGGGCTTGTGTTCAACTCCGCCCAGCCGAGCCCAGCCGAGTCGTCGCGTCAAACAAAATACTCAGTCACCTGTACCCCTCACCTTTAACAGCTTTCGATTCCGCTCAGCTATGATCGATGACAACATGGTTTCTACAGGAGCGGCAATAGTGGAATTGTCCGTTGACGAAATTGCTGCTATGAGCGATACCGAGCTTGGCCACTTCATGACGAAACATCGCCTTCCCGATGGCGGTTACGAACTTCCTGTTAACGGATGGGATAAGCTATCTAAAGATGAACGCGGCCATCTTGCCGCGAGACTAAAGTAAGTCTATATTGACCTACTTGGCGTGACCTGCTTTGTGCCCGTTCTTCGCGTTCTCTGCTAATTAAAATGTAGGGCTCAAGAACAAGGCCTAGCCCAGAGCCCCACGGCTTTTTCTTGCCCACTCGATATCGACGACCTCGATGCGCGCCTACGTCAAGTATCGCCCAACAAAAGCTTCTCACTGCAACCTGAACCCCGAACTGCAAGGTCCCCTACACCACTGGTCGACCCAACCATACGCGAAGCCGAGGCTTACCAGGAGCTCGTCAATGATGGTGGCCGTCCGTTATACCCCATCGACCTTATCCATAATATGTTTCAGCATCCAGACAACTACGCAGAGACATTACGGCCTTGGCAAGTAAATAATAGCCCTGTATCCCCTTCCGGCATATTCCAGAAACAGCTACAGAGGTGGCGAAACTTCCGCAGGTGGCAAAACGACCATCGAGGCCATGAGGATGACGAGGGTGGTTTCCTAGCGTTTGTCGAGTGGAACAAGCACATAACACGACGGGATATGAAGCCGAAATGTGCTGCAAAGCACCTAGCCGAAATTGAGGCTGATCCGTCATGCCTTAAGTCGATCTGGGAGCATAGGCAATGGGAACGTGAAAGGCAGCGACGCTATTGCAGAGAACGCGGCTGCCAAGGGTTTAGCGACTATACGGAAGCGGTAAAGCGCCGGCTTGCCCGCCACGACTTTACACAACCATGCAAGCTCAACGAAGACCCTAAGAACCAAGATAACCTTACCACATGGATCGAGTACCTCAACTACGAGTACTGGTGGCTTGATAAGTACACTAGCGATATTGAACGCCTAGAGCCAGAACATGATAAGTTATGGCAGGATCTTGTTGACAAGAAGATCCCAAGACCTCACGAGACAAAAGAGTTTGTACGTACAGCCTTATCGGGGATGGAGGGCGAGGCAGAAAAGGACCAAGCTATGAAGACTGTACAAAGGGCAGAGTCGGAAGCGAGACGAATCTACGCGTCAACCCAGGAGGGCCTAGAGCGTTCAAGTATTCCTATAGCAAGGCGGATATCGATGTTAAAACACAGCGCGGAGAAAGTACTTGCTGCAAAGGAACGGTTACGGCAGGTCCAAAGCCGATTATTCCTTATTACACAATTTGTTCGGGCCACGTTCGACTACGATGAGGCAAAGAGAGATGCTGCTCGTCAACGCGTCCTTGTCCAATGGGTTCTGGACCAGGTTCCTCTAATTCAGGACCTACGCAAAGCAAATATACAACTTGAATCTGGTGGAAAAAGGGCGACGAAGAGGAGGCTCACCAGCGACGAAGAGCTTGGATCTGATGGGCAAAGGGCGACGAAGAGGAGGCTCACCAGCGACGAAGAGCTTGGATCTGATGGACGAAGGGCGACGAAGAGGAGGCTCATTAGTGACGAAGAGCTTGGATCTGATGGACAAAGGGCGACGAAGAGGAGGCTCACCAGCGACGAAGAGCCTCTAGAGAGACAAGACCTGAAAAGGGCGAGAATTGACCTTGAAGAACCGAGGCTGGCCAGTGCGATAATCCCATCAAAAGTCACAAAGACGCAGTCGGAGTCCCGCATTGTGATGGACCAGGAAGCGGCTCAAGGTTCGCACCAAGATGACGTTCAGGCAATACCGCAAGGACCCCGCCGCAGCGCACGTATTGCGGCGTATCGTGACGCTTCCAAGATAGCCCCTGAGCGTGGCATCCCTCAACCAAGAAGACGCTCAAGGTCTGGAGCAACACCAGCACACGCACCAGCAAAACCGCCACCAGCACAACCGCTAAGATCTTCTTCGCTAGTTGAGGACACAAAAGCTCATACGGTGGGGAGACCGTCACGCGGCAAGAGTCAACGCGGCAAGAGTCAACGCGGCACAGCTAAATCAAACAGGAGGTCGCAGAGGCGTCAGCAGCGAAGGGGTGACTAATGAGGGATCCTTGGCTTAAGTAGCCTGATAATAGCATTGCGAAGAGGCGACGTCGCCTGCGCCTGTATATTTTTAGACAATCACGTTGGACACCTGAACATACTAAATATGTGTCATTTGAGCTGCAAGTTGAACATATCCTTGCTGCATGCATGTACACTTGATAGGATAATGGAGGAAAATCGAATATATGTACTTGTATGCTCGTCATGCATCTGAATTGTAGCTATCTGACTCGGTCACAGGTGAAATGACACTTGCAAATATTTATTGGAATTGGAGATGATATCAAATTCATTTAAGAGCCGCTATTACTGACCTGGGGCCAACCAGCCGCACCATAGGGGATCTCGACTCCTTTCGGCACACTAAACGGCAAGCAGCTGTTGTGACCAATCAAGATACCAATGACATCACGAGGCAGCCTTGAGAGCATTTCATAAAGACGCCTCCAACAAAAATCTGCTCCTCTCATACCAACCTTTTTCTTGCTGGATATAACATCAAGAGCTTCATTACCGCTCTCCTCTCCACATCATGTCTCAACCCTCGCAGTTCAGTCATCTGCCCCGCGCCGCCTCCGGGCCTCTGCCGTGCTCCGCCACCGGGCCGCGGCTGCTCTCCCTCGCCCGGTACAACAAGGGCTCTGCCTTCCCCGATAACGAACGCGCGGCGTTTGGCCTGCGCGGGCTGCTGCCGCCGCAGGTCCAGACGCTCCGGGACCAGGTCGAGCGCGCGTACCAGCAGTACGCGAGCTGCGGCGACGACCTGGCCAAGAACACCTTCATGGCCAGCATGAAGGCGCAGAACGAGGTGTTGTACTACAAGGTGCGCGCTCCCATGCTCCGATTCTGAACAAAACAAAATGCACAACGTAGCTCACAGCGTTGGCGGTTGGTTATTAGCTGCTGGAAACGCACCTCAAGGAAATGTTTAGCGTCATTTACACACCCACCGAGGGCGATGCCATTCAGAACTATTCCCGGCTCTTCCGGAAACCCGAGGGCTGTTTTTTGAATATTCGCGAGCAGGACTCGATTGAGGAATGCTTGGCGGCGAATGAGAATACCGACGACATTGATTACATTGTCGTCAGCGACGGCGAAGAGGTGATTCAGCTCGGTGAGGGAATCGGCCAACATATTTACTAATTGATTGTAGATTTTGGGAATCGGTGACCAGGGAGTCGGCGCTATTCTCATCTCTGCTGCGAAACTGGCCATTGCGACTTTGTGCGCTGGCATCCATCCGTCCCGCCAGCTGCCCGTCGTCCTCGACTGCGGCACCAACGTACGCCGCATCCAACTTGCAGTGAAGACGGGAAGATTGCATTCTGACAAACATCTAGAATGATGACTTGCTGAAGAACAAACTGTACCTTGGTCTCCAGGAGCGCCGTGTTCGCGGCAAAGAATACGACGATTTCGTGGACAAGTTTGTGCAAGCCGCTCGCAAACAATACCCGAATGCCTATATTCACTTGCAAGTCACCCAAATTCTCCATTGGCGAAGAAAGTTTTTTTTCTCTCCGCTAACTTGCCCAGTGAGGACTTTGGCCTCCCAAATGCCCGGCGCATCCTTGACCGATACCAGTCTCAAATTCCCTGCTTCAACGACGATATCCAAGGCACTGGCTGCGTCACGCTGGCTGCGATGCTGGCTGCGCTGGAAATCAGCAATGTGAGCATCAAAGACGTTCGTGTCGTCATTTTTGGCTCCGGCACGGCTGGGATGGGCATCGCGGACCAACTCGCCGACGCCATTGTGACGCAGGCGGACAAGTCGAAAGAGGATGCCCGCAAGCAGATCTGGTGAGTCAAGCACATATCTCTCTACTGTTGACTCGAGGTTCTGCCAATTATTGCAGCCTTCTTGCTGTTTTCCGAAGCATCGCCATGTGCCTAACAAAATGTACACAGGTGCATCGACAAACCCGGCCTTTTGCTCAAGTCCCACGGCGACAAGTTGAATCCTGCCCAAGTTCCCTATGCAAAAGACACCTCCGAGTGGCCTGCCGATCGGCAACCCGACTTGTTCTCCGTGGTATCGCATGTCCGCCCACACGTCCTCATCGGCACGTCCACCAAGCCCAAAGCCTTTGACGAAAAGACCATTCGCGAAATGGCCAAGCACGTCCAGCGCCCCATTGTCTTTCCGTTGAGCAATCCTACGCGTTTACATGAAGCCCAGCCCGAGGATCTGATTCGCTGGACCGATGGGAAAGCGCTCGTCGCGACGGGCAGCCCGTTTCCTCCTGTCGAGTATGGTGGCAAGACATTTGAGATTGGCAAGTCATTCTTAAAAAAGGCTGAAAGACGAAAACTAATACAGGTTGGACTAGCTGAATGCAACAACTCGACTTGCTTTCCCGGCATTGGCCTCGGCGCGATTCTGTCCCGCAGTCGACTCGTCTCCAACAAGATGCTCGTAGCAGCTGTGGAAGCGCTCAAAGCAAAGTCGCCAGCGCTGAAAGATGCTACTTGCGCGCTTTTGCCTGATGTCGAAGATGTGCGCGAGGTCAGTGTGGAAATCGCGGCCAGGGTGATACAATGTGCGGTCGAGGAAGGGCTTGCCCAGGAGAAGGGAATCCCGGATGATGAGGAGCAACTGCGGGAGTGGATTCGGGCGCAGATGTGGGATGCAGTGTACCGGCCCTTGTCCAAGCAGTGAGTCGGTATGAATACCGGAGGGACTTTGCATTTGAAAAGTCTAGGGTTGAAGAAGGGCTTTGCCTTGCCGGATTAGGACGACGCACGAGAACCAATAGCAAGCAAACTACACCTTTCTTTTTATACTTGAGCAATCAGAAGAACGAGCTGGTATATAGTAGACTACAATGAAAACTGACTTGCAAGATCATTGCAACACTCTCCAGCCGCGAGTCTACCCCAACTGCCACATCTGGTCCCCCATAGCAATAAGCCTATTAAAAATCTCATCCCGAATCAGCACCGCCGTCAGGTGATACTCAGCCCCCTCCGTCTCAACCACCAGCCCATCTACAACCTGCTTATGCAGCGACCACCCGACGACCATCCTGCTCGGCCACGCCAGGCCCCCGACCTTGCGCAGGCCCGTCATGTCCGCCACCCGCACGCTCCACGCCGGCTCCGCTCCGCCGTCCTGCGACCAGCTGAGCGCCGTCGGCGTCACGTACGCGAACCCGCGCTTGCCCTTGTACCGCGCCTCGAACCGCACCGGGCCGTCCGCCGCCGTCCCGCCGTCGCCGGACTGCACCACCCCGACGCGCTCCTTGGCGTGCGGGGCCCCGACGAGCGCCTTGGCGCGGTCCGCCGCCAGCGCCGTCGTCACGCCGCCTTTGACGGCGCCTTTGAGCATGTCCAGCGCTCGGCGGCCCTTGCCGGGTCGTTTCGTGACATTTTGCCCATTGCTCGTTTCCGCTTCCTGTGGCTGATCTTCTGCGAGCGTGTCGGACGTGCCTTGGCCTATTGTCAGCGCTTTACAAATCTTCAGAAAATTAGAATACACCACTTACCGACAGGTCGTGCTCTTTTGAGATGCGGGCTGTGCGTTCCAAACACCGCATCCGGGTCCGGCGGCGCCGGGATCGGCGCCTTGTTCTTCTCGCCGATGCGCAGCAGGGTAACGGCGAGCTGCGCATTCGTCGGCACGCCTCGCAGGACCGAGTGTCGGAGCTCGACGAACCGCTGCCACCGCGGATACGTCCTCTCTAGCACCTCTGTCAGGCGGTTGAGCAGCGGCGCCCCAAACAGCACCAACCCGAGCACCAGCCCAGACCCCTTGGCCAGCATGTACGGCGTCGTGAACAGCGCGGCCAGCGCGACGGGCAGCAGCGCGGCAGCCAGCCGCGCACGCGCACGGGACCGGGGGAACGGCGGCGTCGGGCTCAGCGCGTTGCCGAAGCGCTCCCACGTGTCGACGAGGTCGGTGACGGCGTGCATGAACGGGCGCGCGCGCTGCCAGACCATCTTGGCCGCGGGCTGCCGCGTCTCGTTGCGGGCTGTGCGCGCGTCGCCCTCTGCGGCTGTCGCTTTCGCTTCCGACACGTTCTGCACTAGCTTGTCCGCGCCGGGCGCCGTGCCGACGTCGTCGTCGTCGTCACTCGCCGGACCGCCGATGGTGGTGCTGAGAGCGACCTAATCCCAGCAGTCAGTATCTACTCGAACCGGGACTACTGCGCTGCTTACCGAGCCAAGCGTGTTGACGAAGCTGTGCGCCTCTTGCTCCACAGCCTCGCCCGCGACTTTTTCCGGCGCGCCCGTCAACGTATCGTCCGTCGCGGCGACGCCTGCCGGCGGCGTCTGCAGCCCGCCCGTGGCGGAATCAATGCGGGAAATCGGCGCCGGGGGAAACGCAACCCTCCGCGCCGCGGGCACCAGTATCAGGACCATAAGGAAAACGACAGTCGCGGGGACAAGCAGGTCGCACGCCCAGGCGCAGGCGTACGCGAGCAGAAAGGCGGCGGTGCGGCGGCGCTCGTTCCAGGAGCGCAGGCGCGCGAGGTGGTTGGCGGCGGCGGCGAGCGGCACGACGACGGAGACGTAGCCGCGCTCGAGCTGCGCGCGCAGCTTCTCGGGGGCGAAGCCGTCGTCGTCGGCAATGTTCATGTCGAGGTTGGCGAGGGGCGGCTGGTGGATGCGCCGCACGCAAAAGGCCTGCTTGTTGAAGCGCCGCAGGAGCGCCCAGAGCTGCTCGTTGTCGAGGCCCTGCACGATGGGCGGCAGCGAGCTCTTGTCCGCCTCGTTCCATCCGAGGTCGAGGACCTCGCCGGGGGCGGAGGGCGGCGGGCTCGCTCCGGCTTGGTTGGGGTCTACGAGGGTTTGGCTGGCGAGGGCATGGCTCTCGGTCGGTTCTGATGTAGAAGCAAGAGGGCTTGTGCCGGCGTGTTGGGTGATGAGTGTGCCTGGGTCTTCGGAGGGCACTTCTTCCTGATGCGGAACCGCCGCCGGTGGTATGTACGAATGCAAGGTAGTCATAGCCGCTGTCAGATGGCGAAAATAAGCATGTAGAATACAAATGAAAGTCTTATTGTAGCCGTAAGAGCAGTTCGTCATGGTTTACACGCCGTGAGACGTCATGGATTCCACGGCCCCACTCGTGGCGGCATGTCGATCGGGTTCCGAGTTATCGGGTCAGTGTGTATTTGCGATGAATCAAATCCTGCGCGGGAAATGTCCATTCAATACTCATGCAATGCGACTTTTGAGGATTTTTTATTGGCAGCCTGATACGCTCGCCGGTCTTCTCATTCCGCTGTGTGTCGCGAAGCACTCTAGGGTATCCCGACTTGGTGCCAGCCAACAGCCGGCGTAGGTACGAGGAGCAAATGTGCACCGCTTGAACAAGTAATGCCTGATATAAGTATATTTGAGACACAAATCACCTCAAAGTAGCCTATCCTTAGAGAATAACCCTAGCGTTTTCAAGGCTGTTGGCGAGAATCTCCTGACCAACTCAACTGGTGTAGGGTTGGTGCAACTGTCAGTAGCTTGCGCACTAGGTAAATGATGCCACATTAAGACAAGTTTACTACTAATTAGTCGCGGGTGAAAAACGGTAGTAGGCTACAAGACTAACTAAATATAGGAACGGAGCGGTTAAGTTTAAAATAATAATTGTCAATAGCTACAGCGTCGGCGATGTTGCCACTATCCACCCTGGCCAAGATCCCCAGCAAAACGGACTTTAGCCTGCACAAGGTTCTGGGCGAGGTCCGCCTAAGCAACGGGGCGAATCGAGCAGGTGCCAAGGGTGTTTGCAATACTGGCAGGTAATTGGGATATGTGTGCCACGGAGATAGTACGGATACCGGCGGGTAGCATGTCGGTGAACTGATGACGTAGACATGTATGCCTTGGACGCCGAGAATTCATACACATATTCATGCTGCTGCTCCCATGACAGACAACTCGTAACACTTTTCTCTGCGGCCATCATATCCATCTCATCCTGGACAAAAGACTGGCTTGGCTTGCTTGGAAGCGAGGCTAAAACGTTGCACAGATGCACTAGACAAGGGACCCCGCGCCAGGTGAGATGGAGGCGCTTTTTCCTTGACTAATGGAAACCTTGGAATCTCAGAAGAGACATGTCATCCGAGCGGCGAGCACGTTGCAACATGTCCAAGTTGCGACAGCGCAGCATTGCAAGGATGACTGGCAAACTGGTGGGTTGCGTGGTTCCGAGCAGTGGGAAAAGCTTGGTGCAAATTTCAATAGCCGTCAGGGTTTCGGGCCATTGCATAAAAAGAATAACCCTGGAATTATGAAAGCAGCTTGGCAGGTGCCCACTTTCGGAAGCTACCGGTGGGCGAGCTTATTCTTCTTTTCCTTTTCTTTTATTCTTTCAACTTTTTATTTTAACTTCTTCACTCTTCATTCTAAAGTTCTCTATCCGTAGTTACGTTCTCTATCCGGAACTTTGAAGACGACGGCGATTCGCCCACGTAGTCACACAAGTAGTCACGGCAAGTTCCAGAAGAAAGATGCCATCACGGTCCCCGCTCGTGGCAGTCGTGAAAAAAAGGTGTCAGATGGGGAGCCAAAGACGAAACCCGGCCGCCGGGACCGGAGCGCGGCGACGGCGGAGACACACATCCCGGTCTAGCTTGCTACGAACACGGTGGAGAGGTCGACAAAGGCAGCGATCCAATCAAGCGGTACACGGCGTGGGTATGGGTTTCCATCAGGTCACAGATATTGTCGAGTCCAGAAAAAAAAAATCTCTGCCCATCAAGGACCACCCCCCCTCCCCTTCGTACGTAGCTCCTTGACCATGCGGAGCTATCGGAGGCCAGGGCAGTGTGAGATTACGGCCACGGACAGGACATGGGTTCCGCGTCATGGGATTCCCACACTGGACGTAGAGTTGTTGGAGAAGGCCTGTCGAGTGGGAGGCCGGCTGTCGAGGGGCAAAGCGGGCGGGAGGGAGTTTGCGCAGGAGTTAGTGTGGCTCTTGGGTTGGCCGGTGGTGGTATTTTTTCTCTCTCGCTCTTGGTTCCTGTTGACTCGAGTTTCCCCTCTTTGCTTCACAAGACTCTGTTGGAACCATCTTACCTTTGGAAAGCGCACACACATACATACCTTTGCTCACGCAGACTCCCCCACCTACCTAGTGTATACTGCCATGGCCACGTTTCGCCTCGCCGTGCTCGAGTGCGATGTCCCCTTCCCGGGCGTAGTCGAACTCCGGGGCTCCTACGGGGACATGTTCCGCAGCCTCCTCGGCGAGGGCATGCGCGGGCTGCCATCCGCCGCCGACGCGCAGACGGTGCTCGAGGTGACCAAGTGGGATGTCGTGCACGCGCACGTGTACCCGGTGTTTGAAGATTTCGACGGCCTGATGATTTCCGGCAGCAGTGAGTACCCTGGTACCCGCGGGCCAAGGGAGAAAAAGCTGACGAGACAGAACACACGGCGTTTGACAACACGCCATGGATCGTCGCCCTCGTCGACTACCTCGTCGACTTTTTTAAAAACTCGCGCAAACCGGTCGTCGGCATCTGCTTCGGACACCAGATCATCGCGCGCGCGCTCGGCGGCCGCGTCGAGGTCAGCCCCGGCGGGTGGGAGAATTCGGTGACGCAGATTGACCTGAGCGCGACCGGGCAGCAGTTCTTTGGCGTGCCGTCTATTGTAAGCTTTTCTTCTTCTCTCAGCCCCCCTTCCCAAGGAACCTCTCTGACACACACCACAGCACATGCACCAGACGCACCGCGACGCCGTCACGGTGCTGCCGCCGGGCGTCGACAGCATCGGCGGCTCGGCGGGCTGCCGCGTGCACGGCATGTTCCGCGCCGGGCGCATCCTCTCGTTCCAGGGGCACCCCGAGTTTGACGCCGAGACCATGGCGCTCATCCTCAAGGGCCGGTACGCGGTCGGCGTCTTCTCGCAGGCCATGTACGACGACGCCATGAGCCGCGTCGGGCGGCCGCACTGCGGCAAGATGCTGGCGACCAAGGTCTGCGGGTTCCTGCTGGAGGCGAAGCGCGCGGCGTCGAGGTCGTAGATGTCGTACTCTGGTTCAGTGTGTAACTGGGTGATGAAATGCCTCACGAGACGGGCGGGCGGTTGATTTTCGTACATTGGGCCCCGTGGAAAGCGATGAGTTTTTACTTAGCATGCAAGATTGGAAAAAAGCAGGGCCCGGGCGTTTGTTTTATTAAGTAGAACCAAGGACGGAAATAAATAAAACTATATACAAGATACTTTGTGCTTTTGTGTACTGGCTTTGTTTGCTGTGAGAGATAAGAGAATAGCCCAACCTTGCTGTTTCGGTCGCGCATAAGTGGGCGGACGGGGTCTGGCTAGTGAGGCCCGAGATAAGCAAGAAGCGTGTGATTGGTGGCTGGCGAATTCGTTACGAAAAGAATTCGACGAGGTGCGGAAATGAGGGACAAAAGGACTGGGGAAGCATGAGGAAATTTTGGGGAAATTTCGCAGTTTATTATTTTTATTTGTTGAGGGAAGGATGTGAGGCTTATCGCGGGAGTGAGACCGCGGTTATCGGGAGCGCTTCAACGTGTGAAGAGCAACGCCACTTGCAGCCTTAACCAACATGACCTAACTAATTCGTAATTGGTATGCAACCGTTCTCCGGGAAGATCGGATATGCGGGCTGCCCCAGGAAGGGCATGTGCCTCCTGTCACCCCAATCCTCATGTAGATGCAATGCAGTCTCGGGGACAGTCCCTGTCAGATGAATGCCAATGTCACCCACCATCTCCGTTATCTCACCTTTCTACCATGAACATGATGTGACCCCCGGATTTGCACCCGCTTCCCTGCGGCTGAGATGTCAACCCCGAGTTGAGCAAGCTACGCCGTCACGTAATCTCTGATAGTCGTGCAGCTGAAATGGTGATACTACCGGCGCGAATGGCGACATTCCCAAGTAGTAACTGCTACAAAAGCAGCGGGCCGAGGACTTGGTAAAAAAGCGTTGCTCGACCCCGTTACGTTTCATTACGTTGCAATCACCAAGACCATGTCTGAGAAACTCCCCCATGTATCAGACGGGCCGGCGCCGAGCGACGGCGGCCCGGAGCTCAAGTTTGTCCAGCGAGTCGGGTCTAGTTCCGACGAGGGCGACTCGACGCCGATTGACGACGACGATGTGGCTCGTTTGCGGGCTTCGTTGACACGCGAGCAGGAGAAGAAGCTGGTGCGCAGGATTGACTGGCATTTGCTGCCTCTGCTGTCGGTGCTGTACATGGTCAAGACGATTGATGCGATCAATGTATGTTGTCTTGATTTCTTCTTCTTCTTCTACAGTAAAAGACCGTATATCCCACTAGGCGGCTTCTAATCATTCTCAGGTATCCAACGCCCGCGTCATGGACCGCGGCACCCCCCGCAACATCCTCACCGAGCTGCACATGACGTCCAACCAATACAACTTTGTCACGCTCGCCTACTACATCCCGTACATCCTCGCCGAGACGCCGTCCAACCTGGCCATCAAGTACTTCAAGCCATCCGTCTGGCAGGCCCGCATCACCGTACCCTCCCCTCCCCGCACCCTCCCCAGCAAAACCGCCATATCTGACACTGCTTGCTAGATCTCCTGGGGCATCGTGCTCTGCTGCCACGCCGCCGTCACCAACGCGGGGGGGCTCTACGTCGTCCGCGCCTTTCTTGGGCTCTTCGAGGCCGGCCTCTGGCCGGGCATGCTCGTGCACATGTGCTACTGGTACCGCCCCGACGAGATTGCGCCGCGCATCGTGCTCGTCACCATCCTCGGCAACTTTAGCGCCGTCGTCAGCGGCGCGCTCGCCTTTGGCTTCAACGGCGTGTATGCGCGGGGGCTCTCCGGCTGGAAATGGTATGTCGTTCCCGGTTTACCGTGACGACTGGGGCCTCGCTGACTCTTGGTATAGGCTCATCCTGACCGAGGGCGTCTTCACCATTCTGCTCGGAATCGTCGTCTACTTCTTCGTACCAGACTGCAAGTCCCACCCACCCCCCTCGTCATCAACAATACTCTAACTCGTGACAAACAGTCCCGTCGACAGTGACCTGGATGACGGACAAGGAAAAGGCCTTTGTCCAGGCGAGACTGCCGCCCAACTCGCCGCGCGCGGCGGAAAAGAACTTTGACTTTGGCGAGCTCGTCGCCACGCTCAAAGACATTCGTCTCTGGCTCTTTCTCCTCTGCTGGGCCTTCTTCACCGTCGGCACCACCGGTCTCGCCTTTTACCAGCCCACCGTCATAGCAAACCTCGGATTCACGTGAGACATGCTCTTTCCCTCCATTTCGATTGCCTGCCAGGGGTTTACTGACCATTTCGTAGCTCCATTGCCCAGGCGCAGCTGCTCAACATTCCGCCCGCCATCTTCGCCATGTTGCTCACCCTGCTCTTCGGCATATTCGCCGACACGGGGCGCATCCCCCAGCCGTCTATCCCCCTCGGCTTCATGGTTGTCATCCTGGCGTGCTACGGCGTGCTGTACAGCTTCCCGAGCAGCGGCGCCGTGTACGCCGCCACCGTCATCGCCGGCGGCTTCTCCACCGCTTGGTACGACCGCCCCTTCTTCAGCACACGCAGTTCTTTTTTTTTATTTTTTACTAATATTTGATAGGTATACGATGATGTGGCCGTGGCGCGTGCAGACCACAGACGGCGCGACCGGCTCGGCATTTGCCATTGCCTTTGCCAACAGCTACGGACAGATTGGCGGCGCCGTCGGCTCGCAGCTGTTCAACTCCCGGTTCGCGCCCAGGTACACGACGTCGTTTGGCATCGCCATGGGGTTCATCGGCATGGCCATCGTCATGAATGTCATTACTTGGCGCGTGACGGGCCGGGTTGATTCGGAGACGCGGAGGCTGAAGCGGAGCCGGATTGCGGCGGCGAAGCGTGGCGAGGCGCTCCTGGACGATGTCGACATCCATGCGAAGGGGAACGTGGCTCGTGTATAGACTGTGATAGCTAAAATACGCTTCACCATCCGTTCCTACCGAAATATGACATTATAGATCGGTGGCCAAGTATTGGATTCCGCCGCTGTAGTATCGGCAACTTCTCCACGAGTCCAGGTAGGACTTGACTGCATGTATGCCACAATCTGCCAGGATACGAGGTGGTACGATTTCGTAAGCAATATTGGTGGCGTAAGTTGTGATTTTCACCATTCTTTATCGCCTTGCAGTATCAGCTAGCACTACTATTCCCCTTGCACGCGAAACCCGACGTCGATCGGCACAGACTGGGCTCGTCATCGCGGACCGAGATCACGACACAGCTCGCGCCGCGCGCATATACTCGACTTATCTCAACCATCTCCGATAAATCCCAACGCACCCAGCACTGCTAGACATTTAGCCACACCTCTGAAACATCCACGAGCCCACGGTCCGGAATTGCAATCTGCAGTTATCTGGCCCTCATCCTTCACCATGCGGCATCTCCAATCTCATCTCCTCTTGGCTACCTGCCTCCTCGCCAGCCAAGTCCTCCCTGCCGCCGCCGCATCTCAACAGCCGCTCTTCGACGTACCCCGCGCTCCCGAGCCCACCCGCTCCTCCCCCCTCATCGAGCTCCACAAGTCGCTCGTCGAGATCCCGTCCCTCACCGGCAGCGAGCACAACGTGACCGCCTTCCTGCACACCCACCTAACCTCTCTCGGCCTCACCGTCGAAACCCAGCCCGTCACGCCCTCGCGCGCCAACATCCTCGCCTACCTCGGCCCCTCGCGCGCCTCCCGCATCCTCCTCACCTCGCACATCGACACGGTGCCGCCCTTCCTGCCCTACCGCCGCCTCAACAGCACGCTGTACGGCCGGGGCTCCGTAGACGCCAAAGCCAGCGTAGCCGCGCAAATCGCCGCCTTTTCCGGCCTCGCGCGCTCTGGGGCGATCCGCGCCGGCGACGTGGCGCTGCTCTTCGTCGTCGGCGAGGAGCGCGGCGGCGCGGGGCATGCGCGCCGCCAACGACCTGCGCCTCGCGTGGGAGGCCGTCGTCTTCGGCGAGCCGACCGAGCGCCGGCTGGGGCCCGCGGGGCACAAGGGCGGCATCGGCTTCACGCTCACGGCGCACGGGCGCGCCGCACACTCCGGGTACCCGGAGCGCGGGCGCAACGCGATTGACGCGCTGGTGCGCGCGCTGGCTGCGCTGCAGCGCGTCGACTGGCCAAGTAGCGAGGCGTTTGGCGAGACGACGCTCAATGTCGGTGAGATTCACGGCGGCGTGGCGCCGAATGTGGTTCCGGAGCGGGCGAGCGCGCGCGCGGCCGTGCGCATTGCGGCGGGCGAGCCGCAGCTGATACGGAGGCTGGTGCGGGATGCGGTGGCGGCGGCGACGGCGGATGTAGAGGTGGAGTTTACGGCGGGGATTGGGCCGGTGCCGATTGATCATGATGTTGAGGGTGTGTGCTGCTGGCTGGATTCTGACTGCGGTTGTTGTTTTGCTAACGGTGAATAGGGTTCGAGACGGCGGTGCTCAATTACGGGACGGATATCCCGAATCTGCACGGCGCGCACAAGAGATACTTGTACGGCCCGGGGACGATCCTGGTGGCGCACTCGCCGGATGAGCATGTTGAGCTGGGAGACTTGGAAGAGGCGGTGGAGGGATATAAGCGTCTTATTCGGGAGATTTTGAAGAGAAAGGTAGGCGCGCCGTAAGTCGGGGTACCATCTCGTAATGGCTTGTCATTGCCATCAGTAGAGTTTCGAGTCGAATGCTCCATCTCCTGGGAAATCCACACTAGCAGCTGCCTCTTTATTAAATTTGCCATGTTTAAAGCCAAGACTTTGTCTACAAAGGCGTCTTGGCCTTTTGGTGCAGAATGCTCGCTGTCTGTGGTGGGTGCGCGGTACCAACAAGACCTCACTCATTATCCTCGACCACCCTCCATGCTTCTTGTGAAAAAATAGAAATCTACGTAAATCATTATTCATTAAATAACATTAACCATCCAGCAGTGGGCCTATCGTTACACCAACAAGTGCATCACTGTTACCGCGGCTCCGAGAAACGTGGAGAACCCAGTCCGGTCCCACAGCGGCTCGCGGCAACGGTGCGCCGTCCGACCTCGGGCAGTCTTTATATAGCCCCCGCGCTCCCCTCCTCCCGCACCCATCCCCCTTCCATCAATCCCTTTTTCAAAATGTCCATCAACACCATCTCGCCCTCGACGGGGCTATCCGTCTTCACCCACCCCGGTGTCTCGGCGTCCTCGCTCGCCGCCGCGCTCTCCGCCGCGTCCGCGTCTTTTGCCCGGTACCGGCGCACCACGCTCGCCGAGCGCAAGGCTTGGGTCGTCGGCGCCCTCAACCACCTCGCGGGCCTTAGGGAGACCCTGGCGGCCGAGCTCACGGCGCAGATGGGACGCCCGGTGGCGGCGGCCGGCAGCGAGATTGACACGATGCGGAAAAGGGCCGATTATCTGCTCGAGATTGCGGAGGAGGCGCTGGGGGATATGCCGGGGCGGAAGGAGGAGGGCTTTAAGCGATGGACGAGCCAGGAACCGGTCGGACCGGTCTTGATTGTCTCGGCGTGGAATGTGAGTTCACCAAGTTCGACCACAAGCATCAAGAATGGAGACTCAGTTGTGACAGAGTGTCAATGCGTGCACGGCTTTCAGAAGTAAAATATTCAGGCTAACAACAAGACAGTTCCCCTATCTCATCACCATCAATACCATCGTCCCCGCGCTCCTCGCCGGGTGCCCTGTACTTCTCAAACCATCCCCGCAGACGCCCCTCGTGGCCGACCGTTTCCTCGCCGCCTTTGCCGCGGCCGGGCTGCCCGCCGGCGTGTTCCAAGTGCTGCACACGGCGAGCCTCGAGACGCTGCAGCAGGCCGCGCAGCACCCGGCCGTGCGGCAAGTCTGCTTCACCGGCTCCACGGCGGGCGGGCTGGCGATGAAGCGGGCGACGGCGGACAGGGTCGTCGGTGTGAATCTGGAGCTCGGCGGCAAGGATCCGGCATATGTGCGCGCCGACGCCGACTTGACGTGGACGGCGGCCAACATTGTCGACGGCGCCGTCTTCAATTCGGGTCAGAGCTGCTGCGCGATTGAGAGGGTGTACGTGCATGCGGATGTGCATGATGCGTTTGTGGTGGCGCTGCAGAAAGAGCTACAAGGGTGAGGGTTCCTTTCACGACACTGCAGAGCGCGCTGACAGGAGTAGATACAAACTCGGCGATCCTGCGGACAAGACGACAACGATTGGTCCCGTAATTTCCGCAGCGGCCGTCAAAGCCATCTCTGCCCAAGTCGACGACGCTCTCAGCAAAGGCGCCGTCGACGCCACGCCCATCAACGCCTCGTTCCAGAACCTACCCGCCACGGGTAGCTACGTCGCGCCGCGGCTGCTCACCAACGTCAACCATTCCATGGCCGTCATGACGGCCGAGACGTTTGGTCCGCTCATCCCGGTGATGAAGGTGGGCAGCGACGAGGAGGCAGTGGCGCTCATGAATGACAGCACGTACGGGCTGACGGCGAGCATCTGGACGCGCGACGTGGCGCGGGGCGAGGCGATTGGCGAGGACGTCGAGGCGGGCACCCTGTTTGTGAACCGCTGCGACTGCCCGAATCCGGCAAGTTTTGACGTGAAAAAAAAAAGCAGATGTGCGGATACTAACGTGGCGATAGGATCTTGCGTGGGTGGGCTGGAAGGATTCCGGTCTGGGCTGCACCCTGGGGCCCCGTGCTTTTGATGCGTTTGTGAAGCTGCGTAGCCACCATATTCGCTTGACTCACGGATAGCCGGTGCAGTCCTGTACTTCCGTAGGGCCGAGTTTCGTAGTGCGAATACACCTTGGGTGTTTGCCATGTCTAGCTGTAGCGTCGTGGGTGATGATGGGCTGTTTGGAGCAATTGTGAATACACCAAGATTTCAGGCAAACGAGATCCAGACCTGGCGCTCCTGCATTACCTCGGACAGCTTCCAGGGACTCACATCCTCTGGTGCCTTTGTCCAGACATGCTCGAGTAGGATCAGCGTCTCCTTCATGTTCCCCAGCCCAATCGTACCGTGCATATCCTGCAGCCGTTCCCGCAGTACCTGCTGCACGTCCGCATCCGTCGTGCAGCACCCAATGACCGTCAGGGGCCAGCAGAGACTGGTATTGATGCGCAGGGTAGCGGGGAACTGACTCAGAAGCGACATGGCCTCGGCAACAGCACTGGCCATGAGGCCCCGATGCGCCGTGTTACCGTGCGCCTGGTGCGGGGTGCCGAGAATACTCCATAGATAAAGCAAGACACCCTGCTTAAAGACCAGACCGGCCAGGCGCGAGTACGGATTGACAGCCACGTCGGGAAAAAAGGCCATGATTTGCGCTTGCAGCATACCAAAGGTGATGATATCGTCCGGCTGCGGGCACATCGTGCCATCTACGGCGGCGCGGGTGCCCATGATGCGGTGGCCGAGGTGGTACACGTGCGGGATGATCAGCAGCAGCTCGAGCCAGCAGCCCGACAGCTGGCCGACGTAGCCCTTGGCGATGAGTGTGCGGGCCAGCCCTTCAATCGTGGGACCGAGCTCCGGCGGCGCGCGCTGCGGATCCGTCGACATGATGCTCGTCACCGTCATGTGAATGGCAAACTCGACGAGGAAGTCCGGCAGGTCGTCGGGAATCTCCGACTTGGGGCGCGTCAGCAGCAGGTTGAGCATGGACTCGGAAGCGCGAAGGTGGTCAAAGATGGTGCCGTGGACGTCGCCGCGCGCCACCTCGGTCAGGCACAGGATCAGGCTGCCGACAGTCAGGGCCAGGGTATTCTCTTCCTTGCCCGACACGTACTCGCCGACGACGGTGCGGAACATGCGCAGCGAGTCGGTGTAGTAGTGGTGGGCGACCTCGGTGCCGGCGCCGGCGCCCCCTTCGGCCGACTGTCGGTGCGATGCGCTCTGGGCGAGCAGCAGCTGCAGGACGAGCGGGTTGGCAAAGGCCAGCGGCACCAGCTTGGCGATGAAGGGATTGACGTCGGTCGAGCCGTTGCCCATGCTGTTGGCGGTGCGGGTAAGGTAGTAGCTCAGCAGGTCCGACGACTCGCGGCCGTGGTTGGGCAGCAGCGACAGGGGCGAGAGCGTGAGCAGGCAGGCCGGGTCTGCGTCGAGGGCCATGGTGGAAATGGTGAGGGCTCGCGAGTCGGAAAAGAGGTCGGCGTGGGAGTGGGATGAGGCGGGCGACACGGGCAGCATGGGGGACGTGTCGGGCCCGTACTCGGCCTCGACGTCGGACGCCAGCATGTCAATGTCCGAGGCGGCGCCATGGCCGCTGCTGCTTCCCGACGACGACGAGTGCGAGTGGGCGCGGTGATCCCTGACGACTGGGTCGCGTGCCGTCGTTGTCTCAAGCGTCTTGTCCGTGAACGAAGCGGCGCGGGGCTTGGAGGCTTTAGCGGCAGCAGCCGACGACGGAGGATTCTTGGTGCGCGTCTGCAGCGTCGTGTTGCTCTCGGTGGGCCAGGTGCACTCGAGATGATTGCGCCGGCAGCCGCTGCACAGCGGTTTTTCCTCATTGCACTTCTTCTTGCGACGGCGGCAGGTGAAGCAGCCTGTCCTGCTGCGGATAATAGGCATGGCACGCATGGCGTGGGATGGGGGGGAGGGGTGGGACGGATCGAACAACGGAGGTGGTGAAGCAGCGCCGCAGGCCGGTTGAGCATGTGTTACTGAAGCATGTTTTTGCAGACGATTTCTGTCATGAGCCGTCGCGGAATACAGAGGTCGGGTATGATTGTGCAATGGAAGAAAAAGAAGGGGAATGGAAGCCTTGGACGATGGGGGGACAAGCTGCATCAGATGTGGAAGCGGGGAAACGGTCGTGGTAGCTCGAGCCGAAAATCTTCTTTCCATTATGAAGAGACAGTGGTGTACCTACAGAGGGTGTAAGTAGGGCGTCTTGGCGCGGTTTTAGGGCGTCCAGGTGCAGCTTTAGTGCATTTGGGTCATTCCTCAGACCCCTGGACCCCATCTGGTCCCTGTACTGGTTCCCTGTAACTAGTGGCGTCGGTAGGGCGGACTGATGTTTGAGTTTTTCAGCATCAGACTAAATAAGAGTAATACGTACAAAATGCTAGAAATTTTACAAGTCAACGACGACGAGAAGGCTGTCATCACTACAAATTACATCGTCCATTTTCCTTGGCTCCGTATCGCCATGTCTCACCCCGGCGCTTCCAACGCACCACACCCCCAACACTAACCTCACTGATGACATACTCCGTTGATCAACATGATAACACCGCAAAGACAACGCGACTTGGGCTCGCTCGCCAACACCTTCCAATCTGATATACCCTCGCAGCGCCATAAAATTAACCTTTTCCCCATTCCACACCTCTCAATAGCCGTATCCTCACGGCAATACAGACACCCCAGTCTCCGCCCTCCCACGGCCCGGCTGTCGGCGCCGCTAGCCATCCCTCCTCCCCGGTCCACGATAATACACAGAGAAACGCCGGGCAGATCTGGGGTAGCATCGTGACTGATCAAATCTCCCCAGCGCGCAACAGATGTAAAATATCCATCCATGTGCAGCATCTATATTCTAGAAGCAAAAGCAATACTCCATCTCCCGCCCAGTTGCTGGCAACGATACTGCAATCAACAGCCAGCTAGAAGAAACGTGGCAGCGCGCACCGAAACTAGCTCGCAGCCCACATCCACGTCTCCAGCGCGGTCCAACCTGTGATTGGGCATCCACCAATCCTGCCCTCCCCTGCTGAGACTGCATCTAAGCGATGCCCCCTCATCCTCCCTCCTGTTGCTTGCTGCATCACCAACACATCAAGCTAGTTAGTCATGATGGCCGACTCATGAACCTCAGCTTCTCATCGCATCGATCGCCTTCCCGAGAGAAAGCTTGGTCTCCCTCAGCCCTGCACGGACCCCATCAGGGCTTCAAAACAGACAAGGCACCACACAACCAACACGAAATGGTACGAGGGATAACTACTGGAAAATGCCGCTGTTTGTATTCAATGTTATGCTAGCGCAATATATACCAAATTCTAAAAATAAAAGACGCCATGTACACCTCATCCAGGCCGCGTCGAGCCTGGCGTCCGCGCAGAATCCAGTCTCCCTCCATGAGTTCTAAAATACTCGCTTTTCAGGGCATCGGCCCGATCAACATGCGAAAACCCGCAAAGGAGGCAAGAACGCCCCATAGCGTGCCTTGTAGCCAGGAAATCTATATCGGCCCTTTCATGCCGGTCCTCGCCTCTCCACAATGAGACGTGTGACGGGTCCGGGTGAATCCCTTCATACCCCTCCCTCCCTCGCATCAAGACTTGTATGACACGGCATACGCAGTAAACTTGGTGCCGCCTCCGCTCCAATTCACTTCGCGCTTCGCATTTCTGCTCCGGGTAACCGTTACTGCGCGCTTCTCACCCGCCCCCGAAAGACTGTACGCAGCTGTGTCGGCGTGGTAGTCGATAGTAAACGTCTGCGCCTTGTTCTTGTCAGCCGTCAGTCTGCTGCCTGACTGAATGTATTTTTTATCCTTGGCGGACTGCAGGTGGAATGTATTCCCGTAGTCGGCCAAGCTGTGCAAGATCCAGCGCTGCTCAATCTTGTCGTGCCTGTGGTTGCCCTTGCTAATACCGACAGTGTTGCCAATGTTGGTCAGCGCAAACCCATCAGTCTCGAATACCACGTAGCGCCCTTCAGTCGGCTGTCCACGCATAGTCTTGAAACCCTCTTCCACCAGCGACGCCATATCTTGCTTTGCATTCGCCTCGCCATACGGAATCGGAGGTCTGTTTCCAATGGCATGTTCCTGTAGGCATCGGGCCGGCCCGACCCACGGGCCTTGCAGTGAACCAAGGCTCAGGTTACCGTTCCACGGCTTGTCTGGGTCCGTCTCAGGCATGCGAACAGAGGCAATGGGCGGAACGGAATAGTCCGTCTAAAACGTCAGCGTATTTTCTGCTCATCTTAAAACGAGACTACTCACGTGACGAAAATCAAATGCATTCACCAAATTCGACATGTGCTTGCGTCGCCAAGGCGTAATGTTGGCCGTCTCTACGTCGTACCCGTTTGCTTTGGCCCAGGCTTCAACAAACATGATGTCCGACGTATGGTCCGACGGCTCGGTGAATACGTTACCGCCCCGCGTCCATGGCGAGATGATGTAACGCGGCGCCCGCCAACCAGGCCCAACAGGGCTCTCGCCACCTAGCGAAGGGACGTTGAGCCATTCGCCGGGCGTGTCTTTGGGTGCCACCTTTGGCACCACATGGTCCGCCCAGCCACCCTGCTCTGAGTAGTGTTAGCAAATGGCCAGGGCAGCGGCAACGACAACGTACCATCGTAGCTGACAATCAGAATCGTCTCGTTATAAGCAGGGCTGCCGGTTATGGCGTCTACAACCTTCTTCTGCAACCAGGCACCATCGATAGGCATATTGGGCGGGTGCTCCGCAAGCTCCTGCGGGCCGACAATGATGCTAACCTGGGGTAAGGTGCCGCGTAAAGCAGCGTCGTAGAACGCGTCGAGCCCGGGGTACGAGTTTCCCTTGTCACGCAACGCGGAGCCGTTGGCAGCCTTCTGGTATTGTTCAAAGTAGGCAAGCATATTGTCTTCAAAATTGTCAAAGTCCTGCCAAACCTGCCAAGAGACGCCGGCATCCTCGAGGTGTTCGGGAAACGTCTTCCAGACGAAAGGAAAGCAGTTGATTTTAGGTTGCTCGCAGCCTGTCGAGTTAGTAAGTCGAGTCTAAAATACGGGGTTATGCGCATACGAGCGCAGATACGCCATCCGCAGTAGTTATGCACTCACCAGGAGTAGCAGTGTTGTCAATGATGAGACCACCCTCGCCCTTTGGATTAGTGGGCGATCCGGGAATGTTGATCGATCCGCTCATCCACATGATGCGGTTCGGATCGGTGGCAGCCAAGACACTTTGTGTGTTCATATCTAGCAGAGTCCAACCCTCTGCAATGTTAAAATGCGTGGCAATGTCCTGGCGTTTAAAGTATCCCATGGCGTAGCCTCCATCGTCGCTATTCCATGCTTCTGCTTGCGTCCATTTGTTGCCGAGGCCCCCATTGTAGGCTGTGTGCATGGCGTCCCAGCTATTGTCGCCGCCACCCATGCACTGCGTCGAATCTTTCCACTCGCCACCGAGGTAGTTGATGTGCCACGGCGTTAGTGTATGCGTACCATTTCGAGCTTTGTTCATTTGCCTTGCAACGCCGTTAGATGGTCCTTTTATCGCGTGCGTAATAGTAGATTTGTCTGTGGGTAACACTTACTGCTCAAAGACCGAGTATCCATCGTCGTTGACCTGGACATTGGGATCGCCAAAGCCCCGAACACCAGCCATGGTGCCAAAGTACTGTGTATAAATTAGCAAAGCGCAGGCACGGAGATGTAAGATTCAGAGATGTTACTTACATGATCAAACGAGCGGTTTTCTTGCATGAAGAGGACAATATGCTTTACGTCGGCGAGCGAAGTGGCTCGGACGGCCGCGGCCGCCAGAGTTGCCCACAGAGGACTGTTGGTCGGCCTCATGTTGTCCGTGGGTCAAGAACTAGGACTTCCAAATGACTAGAGCGCAAGTAGAACAAGGTGGCAGAAAAATATGGAACTGATGAGACTGTGAGGTTCAGACGCGGCGAAAGCGTCGTTATAACTAGGGCAATCGTGACCTGCAGGTGCCGGGTGTCACGGCAGACCAGGATCAGCTCCAGTGGAATCGTATCATGCGTGGACAGATTGATTGCAACGTTTCAGACGGTTTGGTAGAGAAGGGAGCGAATAATGAGCAGCACGTCGGGCTGGAGCAGCTCAACGGCGGCCGTGGCATTGGATAGCAATCATGTGCACTCGGGGTGGTCACTGGTCTTGGGGCTGTCGAGGGTCCGAAGCGCAAGAGTGGATCAAGTGAGACAGTATTATTCAGAGCGGATAGAGAGCGAGAGAATGCGACGAGTGTCGCGAGGCCGGATAGGCGTGCCGCGATAAAGGGGAGCGCGAATCGTCGGAGGTCGTCTTTGGCTGTTGTGTGGCCCGTATGGAGCTGTCGGTCTAGTGTGGATAGAGTGGATGAAGGAAGTGCGGCCAGAAGCAAGTAATAGGGTCGCGTCGTTGTATCGGTCGCGCCGTGGTATTATTACGGCATAGAGAGGAGGTTCTGCGAGCTGGCGCGTCGTCAAGTAGCGTCGGTCTGTGGATGTGGGATGTGAGATGGCGTCAGAGCGAGCGTGGGGATGGTTGAGCTAGCTCGGCGCAATCTCCGTCGGCTCGCCACACCGGCGCAACGTGTAGCGTAAGACTGCAGCAATTAGGAAGGTGACAAGCTGGGGGTCTTGCCGGGGTGAGGGGACGAATTGAGTAGGATAATCAATGATCAATGGCGGTCTTAATGATGCCTGGTGGTGATGGTTGTACAGGGCAAACGGATGGGCACAGTAGTTAGTGGTTGGCGCAGACGGTGCGAAGAGTGCGGCGCAGCGTCTTGGCTAGGATGCTGACCTTGTGCTATTCTAGGTAGGGACGAAATAACCAGCACTGCGCATGCAGAAGCTCAGCATACTCAGGGTTGAGATATCGTCTTTTTTATGTGGAAATTGTATTGTATTAATTGGATTAATATCCAAGCCTTGTGTTGCATCAGCCTGCGCAGTGGCAGCGTACAGTGAGAGCACCCCAATTCGCACAGTGCTGGCTGAAGGATTGGCTCGGTACCTACCTAGGTACAAACTAGGTACATACCTACACTGCTGAAATCAGATCAGAATCATGCCAGATTCAGGCCATAACGCTTAACGTTCCTCATTCCGACAGTGTTCCGGCGGAAGGGTAATGACAATGGCGATGCAGGGGCAATCTGGATTGTATCAGATGCAGCGCACAGTCGAGTCAATATCAACATACAGCTATTGGTTGACGGATTCGTACCACAACTAGGTATGTACCTTTCTTATATCTAAGGTAGCTGGTAATAATTGACAAAAGACTAGCCACGCTATCGGCCATCCGTTGATATCAGCCGATCTTGCCAGCAACGGCGGCGGCAGTGATTATTGATACCTTCTTTTTTTTCGTGAATCGAAAGAAGTTCATGCTCACTCGTGATCTTGCAGATGCCGAAGGCCTGACAGGTACTAGCCGTAGAGTTGCAAGGACTTGCCTGATCGAGTTAGCCGCCAGACCTGTTTTTAACCATCAATTCACTCTCATCCAAGGCCACAACGAGTCTGTTGCTACCGTCAATGGCCGGTAAACCTTTACGATGCTCTCCAGAAACCAGAAACCCCCTCAGTCACTCGAACCTTGAGCCCCAAATCCCCCCGTTTCAGCGGGACTCCCCGCATACGCCACTGACCAGCGTCGCCGGGCCCGCCGGAGCGGACGCTAGGAAACCAGCTTAGTGGACGTTTCATCTGGTCATTCGTCCCCTGTAACCACGGCCACTCCCACCTCTCAACCCACTGCACAGTTACTGGTCAGATTCAACCACGGCACACGACACTTTGCCTCTTCCACCATTAGCGTTGGCCTGCCCTTTCGACATCTTCACCTCGCCTTACGTTTAGCTTGGTCATCATCAACTTGACTCTTCGCGAATCGCTCTCCCTCCCCTTAACCACGCACCGATTCTCGCACGCTAAGCCCCCCTCGAGTGAACCGCTGCACTGCCTGCTGGATGACGGCCCCGACCCCTTGCTTGCTGGCCTGGCAAGGTAGCTCATGATACCGACCGACACACGAATGACTCGCAGCCTTCAAAAAACAGGCGCTTCCGCCATTCTTCCGTCATGAATTCTGGACCTGAGCATCCGCGCGCCCGTCGATGTCTGCCTGTCATTGCTTTGTGCAGCGGCCTCTTCACCATACTTCTCTCGCTGTTCATGCTTCACGTCTTCAGCCGCAGCACGTCCATACAGCCAGTCGCTGGCCCTATAGAACACCAGGAACCCGGTCCTGAGCTCACAACAACACACGTCGACAACTTCTCTCCTATTGCCACTGCGACGCCAACCCCTATTGTTCTGCCAGACCCAGCTCAAGAAACGGGCTTCATACTACACCCCAAAGACCATTTTGCCAGAGAACCAAAGACGCTGCGTATGACATGGAATGTCACACGCGAATTACGCCAACCTGATGGCGTTGAAAAACAAATATATCTCATCAACGGTACGTCGCAGGTTACTTCGCTCTCTGCATGCCAGTCTAATCATGGCTACCCCCAGGTCAATTTCCCGGTCCTGTCATCGAAGCACGCCCCGGCGACGAGCTCGTCATCAACGTATATAATCACGTCGAAAATGATACCGAAGGCATTGCTGTGCACTGGCACGGCTTGATCATGAATGGTAGCTTATCTGGTCAGACCCTCATAAACCTGGCTAACTTGGTTAGGCGCAAATGACATGGACGGCGTTGTCGGCGTCACCCAATGCGCCATTGTACAAAACAATAATTTCACGTACCGCTTTACGCTAGACAACAAACAGCACGGAACATATTGGTACGTTGTTGTTCCAAACGCCACTACTTTTTTACTAAAAAGACAGGTACCATGCTCATTCGCACCTTCAGAGAGCCGACGGCTTGTACGGTGGCATCGTCATACACAGAGCGGCCGATACAGAAACCGACCTGGCTAGATACAACTACGAACAGGAGAAGCTTCTCCTCGTTGGCGACTGGTATCACTGGCCCGCGACCAGAGTTCTCGAGTGGTTCGACAAGGCAGATCACTTTGGATACGAGGTATGTCGCGGCAGCCGCCCACCTGAACCAAGCTAATTTGTAGCCTGCTCCTGACTCACTCCTCATCAACGGCATCGGAGCCTACAACTGTTCCAAGGCTGTCGCTGCCCGTGTAGTCAATTGTACCATGCTCCAAAAGCCCCGCATTCGCCTACCAGACGGCGACCGCGTGCGCCTTCGCGTCGTGAATACCGGGTACGTTCGTCACTGCTATTTGTGGATGCGCCTAACACGTCTAGTGCTTCTGCTGGACTCTCAATTCGACTTGATCATGGCACCATGGAGCCCCTCGCCGTCGATGGGCACGGTCTGGTAAACAGGTCGGCCTTTGCCGCGGGCGGCTTTGGCATTCTGTACCCGGGCGAGCGTCTTGACGTTGTGCTCGACAAGACAACTATCTCAAAATTAGGTCGAGACAAGAGCTTGGCTAACACTCTAACCATTGAACTTGATGACGGGTAAGTAACGCCGGGTTTCGATGCAGTTCTTTACTAACCAGAGTAGCAACATGCCGCTCAAGAATTATGCACTCACCCGCGTCCAGTCCTTCCCGGTCGACGACGGGGCACCAGGGCAGAGAGCGCTCACCCAGCGCGATGATGCCGTGGAGATGTTGTCGCTCGCCGACCTCAACGGCGTTGCACTGTCAGAGGAGGCCGCCAGTGCAACCAAGCCGGCCGAAACAGCCGTCTTTTACACGACAATAAAGAACCGCGCCACACATGAAAACAGGCCTGCTGGCCTCTTTAACCATTCGTCCTGGATTGTCAAGGATGCTTTCGCGCCGCCTCTGCTGGCCGTCGATGAGGACCAGTGGGTCAATTTGGCGAAAGAGCCCAGTCCACTTCAAAATTTCACAGTACCCGCGTTCAAGACCAACGCCTCGGGAGACAAGATAAGATGGATGGATATGGTTGTTAATAATCTGGATGACAAGGGCCACCCATTCCACCTGGTATGTCCACCGCCCCCATCTCACAGAAAACTCGTGGAATATCCTCTGACCTCCTTTAGCACGGACAGTCGTTCTACGTGTTGGTAAGCCACAAGGGTCGCAAAGGCGAGCAGGGCACTTACAACCCGTTTGACCCCGAGTCCAAGCACGACGACTTTCCCCACATGCCATTTAACCACCTGCTGAAAGATACCGTGTATATTCCCCGCATGGGACATGTCGTCTTGCGGTTACCATTGACCAACAGCGGTCTGTGGCTCGCCCACTGCCATATTCTTTGGCACCAGGCCGTTGGCATGAGCATGGTGCTGCGCGTGGGTGATGTTGATCAAGACGCAAGGCGGGCGGCGGGTGCGTTTTGTGCCAGTCAAAAGGTGGACTCGTAAGTCGACCGAACGGATAGAAAGAAGGAACTTGAGAGAAACAGCGAGGCGTATTTATCTCTGTGTATATGCGAATACCGCATTTTTCAACTTTACGTCAGCGGGGTGGGAGTCAACGCAGCCCACCGCTGATGGCGACTAGGGGTGCGCAGTGAAATATGACTCGTTGCAATTGACGTATTGAAGGCATCCATACTCAGACCCTGGGGAAAATTCGATCGAAGCAACACGAAACTGTCGCGAGCGGAAGGATCCAAAAAATCTACGAAAAGTTGTGCAATTTATGGCAGCGGCGTCACCTTGATGGCCGTGACATCACACTCTCATGCCAAAGCGGGCCGCTCCCGCGTCGCATGAATGGAAGCCAGAATGACCTGGTTGTGATGGTTACATTTGTGATTCGGAGGCTGGCCCAAAACCGATGTAACAAGTCCAAGAATTACAACCCTCGCATAATTGAGTTTGTTAGTCAGGGACCGCCGGCAGGACCGGGTACGGCCCGCCAAAGCTGCTGTGGGGAGGGCCGCGCCGAGAGCGAGAGGAGCGACAATGGATCAAACCTGCGGATTCGATAGGGTATGTTTCTGCGCGCTAGAAGATAAGTGTGTTTGGCTACTCTAGGAATCGGCAACTGATGGGCTGACGCGCGGCCAGTCACTCACTCCCTAGGTCGACCAGTTTTTGTCCGTCTACAACAACAACATGCTAGCGGAAACAGCATCTGTCAATGTAATGAAAGTATAATAGTATTATACTCTAACTAGCTTCTATTCTTTGGAGGCAGGATCTTTTCATCTCTTGCACCGGCAAGGAGCTCTCCAGCCACGACGTCGAACAGTGCCGCTTAAGGAGTGGTGGCACCGGGAGCCTTGGGCGGCACCTCCACTGCTTCGGCCTCCTCACGCTGGCATGTACCAGTGATACCATCCGGCATGGCGCCGTCAATGGCAACAACGCTGGAGCCACAGTCGGCGCCCCTGGCAACATACATTGTCTGGCCCTCGTGGTCGTGGATGACGTACGAGCGGCGCAAGAACTGACGGCCAGCCCAAACGTCTAGACGTGCATGTCAGCGGCCACGAACGAGAAGGTATGGCTCGGAGGTCGTCGGGGAAACAAAGAAAGAACTCACTAGTAGACATGCGGTTACTGACTGCGATGAGCATCTGGCACGTCTTGCCACCGTCGAGGCGCGTTTCGACAAAGTCGGCTAGAGGCATCGAGATGGCGACCTGGTCGGTGACCTGGAACTCGAAGCTGGCGCCGCCGTCGACCACGGCGCAGTCAAACCGGTATTTGCCGTCCGCGCCGGCGGTCGCGCCCGTGCTGTCGACAAACACCTTCGTGGCGGGCGCGCCCTTGACGAGGTGCAGGCTCACGGTGCCCGAGTCGAGGCCCATGTCGAGCGGCTTGCCCTTCTCGCCCTTTGTGTAGAGCTCGACGGGCGCGTCGCTGGTGCTCTTCTTGAACGAGATGGACTTGAGCGCGAAGCCATAGCTACCCGAAAAGGGAGATTAGTTTCCGATCTTGTCCTCGTTTCTTGTGGTGAAGGGGGGTTGTCCGTACAATTGGTTGGAACGGGACCTGACCATGGGGAGCTTCTCGAGGGGCCCGGAGAACTTGCTCGTGTCGTAGCCGCCAAACGTGAGCGCGCCATGGCCGTGCTTGCGCACGCCGATGCTGAACATCTTGCTCTTGACGAGGTTCTGGTCGAGCAGCCGCTCGAGGATGAAGGACTTGGGGTCCGCGCTGTTCTCGCTCGGGACGAGGCCGATGACGCCGACCTGGCGCGACAGCTTGTCGCCGGGCTTAGTCAGGTCGCCCAGGCCCATTGTCAAGTTGCCAAGAGACTTGCCTGCCTGCGGCGTTAGCTTTTGTGTTCTTTTTTACCTATTCCTCACCGGTTAACGTTACCGCCGTAGGAGAAGATGTCGGCGTAGTTCTCCGTGGTGATGCGCTCGCTCGCAAAGCTGTGCGACACGGGGGGGCCGCCGAGCGCCGTCAGGGAGGTGCTAGCGTTTTGGTCGAAAAAGGTAGACGCGGGGCCGCCGGGGCCGCCCTCGCGCGCCTGGCCCGGCTGCAGACCGAGCAGCCACAGGTCGGTCGAGCCCGTGTCGGGCTCGAGGATGACCTTTTGCGGGGGCGTGCCGACATCGAAGACGGCGCCGACGGCGACCGCGTTGTCGCTGTACAGGTACTGGTCCATGCTCAACGAGATCTGGCGCCGCAACTTGGCGCCGGCGGCCGGGCTCGCCGGCATGTTGACCAGCGGCAGGTGCAGCACGCCGCTGGGAACCTGTCGGGCCTCGAGGGGCTCGCGGGGCAGGGCCAGCGCCCGCGAAGCGAGCAGAAGGAGAAGAGCTCTGGAGACAGACATTGTAGCTGAGTGTTGGATGGTTGAGTGGTTGAGTTGCAGTTGGTGCTTGTTGGCTGTGGAAGTTGTTTGATGCTGATGAGACTGGAAGATAGAATGGCTGGAAATGAGCATCACTTTATACTTTTCCGTTTATGAGATTGATCAAGTACAGACAATGAGGACCTCGTCGAGTCATTTTTGATGTGTTCCGTGAGTTTCTAATTTGCGAATACTCATGCCAGAAAACTTCACTCTGCCAGAAGACTGACTGACCATGTGGTGGGAGCTCTATAACTTGACTCGGCCAATAAATCTGGGCGTGTCAACACTATGAGTGCAACCTCATACCAATCCTATACGGTACGAATCTTCTGACTCAACTAGGCAGAGTGCTGTTGAATATACGTTCTGCTACTATCTTATTGACTGTATATCTGACTGCAGTATCGTTGGACGTATGTCATAACACACAGCCTGTTCGCTTGGCAGGCAACTTGTACCTCATGTCTCGCCGCACTGTGAGCTATTCTGGATTATCTAGAACGATATCCCACTATAACACACTCTCACTATCGATACGATGTATATGCCATTGTTACGTTGTGTTGCGGGTACTCTTTGTATGGTAGCTTCTAACAATGCCATAGCTACAAACTTGTCTACAGGCCACGAGTAGTTAGTCTACTCGGTGTATTTCCAGCACCTGGCATGGGAGAGAGCAAGATGGATAAATTATACACTCTTACAAAATGCATATGATATGAGTTCTTCCAAGACTTCGATAGCATAAAGGCACGACGCAGTATTCCTGTGCTTCTATAGTAGAAGATGGTCAAGACTCAAGGCACGACACAGTATTCCTGTGCTTCTATAGGTACTTTAAGGCAGTGGGTATTCTCTCTTAACATAACAATTCAATAGCAGCAAAAGACTTGAACTTGTTTTGTCAAACGAATCGACTTATTAACGGCTATCCCGCGGCTAGTCCCACTTGTCTTGCAAGTCAACCCCGGGGTCCATCGAGGTACCGTGTAGGCACGGAGAATTCGGCAGCTGCGATCCATGACTAGCAATTCAATACAGCGATCATTTATGCACTGCCTCGATATGCGGAGAATTCCTCGTAAGTACGACCTATACGCAGAAGTTGAAAGTTGGGAAAGACATCTATTCAATCGCTACACGTGTCATAAACTAGGTAGTTGTCGTTCCGCCAAGTAGACGTGCACCGGGGGTCAAGTGTATATGCAAGCAATACTGTTAAACACGGCCAAATATTGTAAAAGAAAACTTACGATTTGCGTCGTCTATTCTTTTTTTTTTCCTGAAGAATTATGTGCCTGCAGCCTCGCCAAGTCTACCTGTCCTTCAAGAAAGCCGACGTGACACGTGTGAGGCCATCACGCAATACCTCTAGTGCAGTCGAGGATCATGGCATTGATTGCCTAGCGTCCTGTGTCGCTTTATTACATCCGAAGGGTATTTACACCTTGATTGCCCTATCTAAGGGTTCCCAACTGCCGTTGTGAGATAACTCGGCTCCGCTCGGGCAGAAACACCACTCTCAAAAGGCCAATCGGCAGATCTCTCCAGATGACAGCTCACAAGAACCAGTACCGAGTTGCTCCGGGGGCCGAAGGGGCAGACGCCGTTACCCGCGAGTGCCCATGTCTTGGCGGGGTTCACCAGATGGTTACATGGTTTCAGATGAAACGACGACACAGCCTTGCAAAAAGGTCTAAATTCTGGGCTTGCTATCGCCACCTGCATCGCCGATTCTGGTGGGGTCTGAGGCTGATATTAATACAACGAACGTCGAGCGAAAGCGGGCCGTGTCCCTTTAAAAGGGCCTCGGCGCCTGGTTCAACCGCTTGGCTTTTTGGACCAGAGCCTTGCTAAGCGAGTAATGAAAGATTATCGCCTAGTCGATAAGGTCCTGGCTGGACGGCGACCTGACAGGCACGTCTTTGAATGCATTCACGTTCGTGCTACATGTAACGTGATGATGATGTTAGTTGGTCTCTGACTTGTACACGTGGTCGCAATTGACCGTCTACCTCTCTCGACCTAAACGGATGTTCCTGCACGGCGGCCAAAATGAGGTTGACTTCATGCTTTCCTAATCAGACGCACCGGCCGCCGTCAACCTCGATATTGGTACCGGTCAAGAATGCAGCCTCGTCACTCGCTAGGAAGCAGCACGTGTTTGCAACATCCGCAGGGGTAGAGGGCCTCCCCATCGGAATCGTAGACACAAAAGCGGCACGGTTCTCCGGGGTGTCGGGCTTTCCCAGGAACAAATGCGTCCTGCATGCCATTAGCGCCTCGTTAGAAGGGGGTTTGCCGGTATCTACCGTCCAGGGGGAGGGACCTACATGGCTGTGAGTCCAACCACGGGCGAGACTGCGTTGAAGCGAATGTGTTTTGGGCCATACTCTACTGCAAGCGCCTTTGTTGCCGTGATGGCAGCCCCTTTGGAGGCGTTGTACCATGTGAGGCCAGGTCGCGGCCGGATCCCTGCCGTCGACGCGATTTGGATGAAGCAGCCTGCACGCTTCTCCCGCAAAAGGTACTCGACTACCACAGACGAAGACAGATAAATGGACTTGACATTGACATTCATGACCAAGTCGAAATCGGCATCCGTGACTTGCTCCGCGGGCTTGTTCGAGTACACGACAATGTCGAGCTGCCCATACGTAGCGAGGGCTGTGGCGAGCGCATTCTCCCAGTCGGCGCGCTGCGTCACGTCCGTCTTGACAAAGGCGCAGTTGAATTCCGCAGCGACGGCGCGGCCGTTTTCCTCGGAGACATCGGCGATGAGGACCTTGCTGCCCTCGTGGACAAACTTTTCCACGATGCCCTTGCCGAAGCCCGAGGCGCCGCCGGTGACGATGGCGACCTTGCCGTGCAGTCGTGCAGATGCCATGATGAGCTGGAGCTAGAATGGTGGGCTAAGATTCCGGATGGTGAAGGTTGATGGGGAAAGTGGTGGCGATGTTTACAAGGATGATGCTGTCTGGCTGGAGGGGCTGACATGGGAGCATCGCGGGGTCGTTAATCCACCGCGATCCCGGGGGCGGCCGCAAAGCCGATCTCGTTACGTCATCCACCACTACGTCCACCGGCGGCTGCATAATATTGCCTCGTGCAGAATCCGTATCTACCCTTGGCTGCAGGTTTATACAATCTGCGCTTCTCAAATCCATGGAGCGCGAAAAAGGCATGTGCTGACGAGTAGGCGACTATGGCGGTGCGCGACGGCGGACATCTCGCTGCACTACCAGCTCGAGGACACCATGGCGATGCTCATGGTGCGCAACCCGCGCCGGTTCAACGGTGTCAGCCAACAACGCGTTTGATGAGTCGGTGCACGGGAGCGCCCCCGAACATTGCCGGTCGAGGAGTCGTCAATCCCGTCGCACAGATTTTGAGCCTGGTGATGCTGCTGCGGTGAACTCGTGTTAATTGAGGTTACCGCGGTTGGAGCCGCTGCCCAGGTGCTCAATGATAAGAGCCAAGCAGGCCTTGAATTTGAACAGACACGGGTGGAAATGCAAGAACAGCCGAAATGGGCTCGACTGTACTGTGTTGCGAAAATTGCTGCAGAAGGGTCCATAGCGACGGGCCGTTTTGGAAGCAAATGGTGTGGTTGAGATATTCCGAGGATTCCGAGGCACAGATTAGATAAGCGGGTATTGGCAAAAAAAGTGCAAATGGCCTCACTACCCGTAACTTTGGGGACAACTGTTCCGACAATGACTCGGGCCCCGCAGAATCATGTATGCTGTATCATGATGTGCCGTGTGCGGGGTAACCAGGCGGAGGCAACATAAATAAGCCGTCGCGCTTCCAACAAAGCTCGTCAACCTCACCAAGTTCTCCCCATTCAGCAAATTGTTCGAAATGGCTTCCACTACGAGCGCCGAGACGAAGCAGAAGCGCGTGCGCCTGCGCGAGCTCCTCCCCGAGATCCAGATCGGCAAGTGGGAGCGCACCGGGCCCAAGAACGGCATCACCGACGTGCCCGGGGTGCTGGTGCACACCGAGTCGATCCACGACGAGGCCAACGGCATCCACACGGGCGTCACGACGATCCTGCCGCGGACCGACTGGATGGAAAAGGCGTGCTACGCCGGCATGTTCAACTACAACGGCTCGGGCGAGCTCACCGGCAGCCACTGGATCGCCGACACGGGGCTGCTGGGCAGCCCCATTGTCATCAGCAACAGCTTCGCCGTCGGCGCCTGCCACACGGGCATCTACCAGTACGCGGCGCAGCACTACCGCGACAAGAACGGCGACGTCGACTGGTTCCTCATGCCCGTCGTCGGCGAGACGTACGACGGCATGCTCAACGACCTGTCGCGCTTCGCCGTCACCCCCGAGCACGTCGTGCGCGGCATCGAGCGCGCGAGCGCCGACCCGGTGCCCGAGGGCAACACCGGCGGCGGCACCGCCATGACCTGCCACGGCTTCAAGGCCGGCACCGGCACCTCGAGCCGCCTCGTCGCCGGCTTCGACAAGGACGCCCAGCCCGTCGACTACACCGTCGCCGCGCTCGTGCAGGCCAACTACGGCCGCCTCTACTCGCTCACCATTGCCGGCGCGCCCGTCGGCCGCATCCTGTGGGCCGACAAGGAGCGCGACGCCGCCGCCAAGCACGCCCGCGACGCGTACGAGGCCGCCAAGGGCAAAAAGGACGGGAGCATCATCGTCGTGCTCGCCACCGACGCCCCGCTCAACCCGGTGCAGCTGCAGCGCCTCGCGCGCCGGGCGACCCGCGGCATCTCGCGCGTCGGCGGCTACGGCAACACCAACAGCGGCGACGTCTTCATCGCCTTTAGCACCGGCACCGTCGCGCCCGGCCAGTACACCACGGAAGAGATGGAGCTCAACCCCAACAAGGCCGAGGTGCTGCACCACACCGCCGTCGACGAGCGCAAAATGGACAGCTTGCTCGAGAGCGCGGGCGAGGCCACCGAGGAGGCCATCCTGAACGCGCTCTGCATGGCCGAGACCTTGACCGGGTTCCGCGGCCGTACCGTCGAGGCGCTGCCGCTGGAGAGGGTCCGCGCGATTGTGCAGAGCCATATTGACCTGGAGAAGACGCTCTCGGCAAAGCAGAGCTAGTTAGGGTGGAATTTTGCGGAAAATGCGACGGAAAGGGGTAATGTTGATAGGGCGCGCGAGTCCACTAGGGAAGGCGCATTCTGTAGTCTGAATGACAATTGACAAGTCAAAACAAATCACGCGGCATCGGTAACCTGGCCAGCGGTTTCATCATGCTCGCCTTGGTACCGTAATCTCTGGAGCCCTGTTACGATTAGAGAAAAGGTTCAAACCAAGTTGTAGTAGTGCAGGAAAGTTCAGACTCTGACACCAGCAATGCCAGAGTGTAGGGGAGCGAGGACAACGGACTCTAATGCAACAGCTTAGCGGAATAAGTAGAAGAAAATGTACCTGCCCTAGGCTCGATACTTATTTTTCTTTTATTTCTCCTATGTGGTTTACCCTCTTCTGGCTTTTTTTTTGCTAAGAAATAAGACACGAACACCCACCCACCAAGTAACAGGTTACATAGAGTACAACGTCATACCCTAGAGTGCAGTTCTATAAGATGCGTAGCTGAGTGCACAATGCATTTCGGCCAAGATAGCTCCATTTCATCTCAGCTGGCTGATTGATGCTTATTTAGTCTCTGTTGTATCTTCCAAAAAAATCTAAATCGAACCGTTTTGAATGTCTGGCATTGAGGGGTTCCGTGTTGGCACACCGCTTAGATCGGCGCCTTGCAAGGTGAGATTTCGGCAACGATCAATTTTTGCACGAGTTCCCTCACAACGGCAAGCAATGGCACCAATCCAATACTACACTGCCGCAACTAGAAGATACTAACAATATGTTTCCAGACCGTGTCTCGAAAGCCATGAACGGCCGCTTAAAAACTAGCCTAGGGCGCGCCGTGCTGTAGGGCGCGCGCCACATGTACACTTCCCAGTCCGCGCCAGAGCCGGATGAATCTCACCAACGAAACCTAGATAAGGGTTCCCCACGCATGAACACACCACGGCCTCTCCCCCGATGCATGAATCTCCCCGATCCCTTCCTCGGCCGTCCCTTACCCGCCCAGCATGCCTCTGCCGCTCTCCGTGCTTGTCCTGCTGCTCCTCCTCGTCGGCTTCTTCGCCTATTCCTTCATCGTCCATCCGTGGCGCGTCTCGCCGCTGGCACGGCTGCCAGTGCCGCACTGGTCCTGCCGGCTCTCGAGCGTGTGGATTCTGCGCGCGCGCAAGAACGGCGCCGAGAATGCGGCGCTGCGCGCCGCGCACCGGCGCCTCGGCAACATCGTGCGCGTCGGCCCCGACACCGTCAGCGTCGACGGCGTCGATGCCATGCGCGCCATCTACCAGGGCGGCTTTCCCAAGGCGCCGTGGTACCGCGTCTTTGACAACTACGGGTATGTTGGCCCGCTGCCTCTGCGGGAGAACGTTCCGCTGATGAAGGGATAGCGTGCCGTGCATGTTCTCGACGATTGGGTCGAGGGAGCACTCGAAGAGAAAGAGAATGATCTCCAATGTATACTCGAAATCGTACATTATGAATTCTGAGGCGGCCAAGGCTCAGAGCCGTGTCATCTTGTTGGACCGGTTGCTGCCGCTCTTGAATAGCGAAGCGGCTAGGAACCACCCGGAGGGCACCGAGGTACAGTCGCTCTTCATGGCTACGACGATGGATCTGATCTCGGCGTATATATTCGGCCTGCGGCACAGCACCAACTTTCTACAAGACAAGGCGTACCGGGACCACTGGCTGAGTCTCTATCTGTCCCGTCACCACCACCATTTCTGGCCGCAGGAGCTGCCCTCCATCACCGCGTTTCTCCAGCGCCTCGGCATCCGGCTGTATCCCTCCTTTGTCGACCGCGCCAACGACGAGCTGCGGGCGTGGAACCAGTCGATGTGCGAAAAGGCCGGGCACAGCTACTCGAACGCGGCCGAGGACGCCGATCCCGCCAATACCCCGGTCGTCTTTGCCGCGATGCAGCAGGGCATCCGCAAAGAGGAGAAGAGCGCGGGCGCCGCCTCCATCCTGTACAGCACTGCGATTCAGCAGCGCGACGCGTCCGTGGCGAGCGAGATCCTGGACCAGGTCCTCGCCGGCCACGAAACGGCCGGCATTGTGCTGACGTACGCGGCGTGGCATCTGTCAAAGTCACCGGCCCTGCAAGAGCAGCTGCGACAAGAGCTGTTGCCGCTCCTCTCGCGCAACGCGGCGAATCTACCAGATGTAAAACAGCTAGACGACCTGCCTCTTCTGGATTCGATCGTAATGGAGACGCTGCGACAGCACGCCCCGATCCCAGGACCACAACCGCGCCACACACCGTCTTCTGGCTGCCACATCGAGGGTTTCTTCATTCCCGGCGGTGTCCGCATCGCCTCTATGGCGCATACCCTGCACCGGAATGAGGACGTCTTTTGCAGTCCTGAAACATGGGACCCCAGCCGGTGGCTGCAGAGTGGCAATCGCGATGCGATGAAGCGCCACTTCTGGGCCTTTGGCAGTGGTGGACGGATGTGCATTGGATCCAACTTTGCGCTTCAAGGTTTGTTGATGCCGTTTTATTTGTTTGTTTCTTGAGCTGACGTGGGGCGCAGAGATGAAACTGGTGCTTGCTGTGATATATGCAAACTTTACCACGACTGTTGTCGATGATGGCGGGATGGAGCAGACGGACGGCTACTCTGCGCGGCCGAAAGCAGATCAGCTATTCCTCAGATTCCGTACGGGCCCGGAAACAGTATAGTGGTCGTTGCGCTGGCATATTTTTCCTTATGGAGAGGTACTGAATACGCAATGTAGTGGGCGGCACTTAGCAGCACTGCCGCAATCCAGAGACATGGACCGGTCATGGCCAGGCCCGTCATGGCCAGGCCCGTCTTGAGCCACACTGTGAATGTGTTTGAGGATCTACGTTGACAGTGTAACGACAAGTCGGGTAGTAACATTTTCGTCTAGTATTATAGATGAGTATATACATCATCCACCATCTACCACCCTTGCCTGATCAAGACACATCCACTACAGCTCAAGAAAGTACTTCACCCACTCCTCATAATTAGGCGTGCCCAGGCCCGAGACGGGGTCCCAGCCCTCGACAGCGCTAAAGCCGTTGTTGCCACACGCGCTGAAGCCGCGATCGCTGTAAATGCCACCCAGGGCCTGGTTGCCCTCTGTGACGTCGTTGAAGAAGCCGTCCCTGTCCACGGCCGCGTACAGGGCCGGGTTGGCGAAGCCGATTGGCCCTTTGCCCGCGCTCATGCGCACGTCGTTGATGCGGTTGAAAATGGCCGCCACAATCGGCGCCGACATGGACGTGCCGCTGCCGGTAGTCGGCTTGCCGCCCACCACCACGAGGCCGTTGTCGCCGAGCGCCGCGACGTCCGGGTAGGCCCGGCCCGCGCGGTTGTAGATGCCGCGGGTATCCGTCGGGATGGTGCCGTTGGTGGTTTCGTAGGAAAAGTAGTTGGGGTTGTGGCGGAGAAGGTAGCTAGTTTTGTGTTAGCATCTCGCTTTGAAAAGAAAACGGCGGAGAAGACGTACTTGGAAACGACGGCGTTCTGGTAGGCGGGACGGGGAAAGACGTTGGAGAAGCCGCCGCCGGGAGAAAAGGAATCGGTGACAACCTCGGCGTCGCCAACCTTTCTGCCCTTGGGAAGGACGGTGGAGCCGACAGCAGTGACAAAGGGACAGATGGCCAGGAAAGACGGCGTGAAAATGTCATGGTGAGGACCAGCACACTTATTCCGGCGGCTGGCAACACCAGTGTCGCCGCTCGACACGACGACCGTGACGCCGACGGTGCCCAGCTTCATAAACTCGTTGCACACGCGCTGCAGCCGTTAGTCGGACGATTCATCTTTCTTCCACTCATCAGCCCGTCTTACCTGGACAACAGCAATGGGCTCGTCCTGCTCGGCATCGCCGTACGACACCGACATGACGTTGGACGGCTGGTACTTGCCGCACATGAGCCTGCGGTCGTAGTTTGGGTCCTCTTTGCAAAACTTGCGGTCCACCGCGCTCGCCCAGTCGGCGAAGATCTGGCTCAAGGCCCTGCGCAGCGGCCTGTTCTGGAACAGGATGATGTTCTGCGGCTGGATGATGGGGTAGGCCATTTGCAAGTCGAGGAGCGACTCCTCGCCGCCGTCGGCCTGGCGGACCGGCGCCGTCGCGCCGTTGATGAGGTCCAGCTGCGGCTTGGTGCCGCGCGGCACGTTGGGCGCGTACTGTTCGATGAAGAGGTCCATGTCCTCCTGGTCAAACATGTCGTCCGTCTCCCAGATGCCGAGGGAGTTGACGTACTCGGGCTTGTTCTCGAGCGGGATCTTGTACATGGCCCGGATGCACTCCGGGGTGATGAGCTCGTCGCAGCCGACCGATTCTGGTTGTGTGCTTGGTGAGCGTGGATGGCATTTGGAACTATTTGCGGGAGGAGACTGACTGTTGGAGCTGAGTCTCTCGAGGACGCCCGGGGCGAGGGCACGGAGGGGCTCCTTGACGCCGTACTTGTCCGAGGCGCCGCTGACCGGCGCAGGGCCGTCGCGGCGCTGCATCTGGCCTAGGCTCACCGCGGGATACACAAAGTCCACAAAGGCGGCGATTTCCTTTGGCAGGCTGTACTCGTCGACACCAATGTGGTCTCTGCCAGTGATGCGGCTCTGGTAGACGTGGTATCTGGTTTGCAGCACCTTTTCCATCTTCTGCACGGTCGAGTTGATGTTGATCAAGGTGCGCGTCTTGTCCAGGGAGATGTCTTTGGCCGGGATGCCGGCCTTTTCCAGCCAGCTGGTCACGGTGTTGATGGTCTGGGTGTCGGCGGCGTAGAAGTCGATGGCTTCCTGTGCCGTCATGTGCTTGCCGTAGTTGGGCGACTTGGGGTCGGAGCTGGGCCGTGTCAGCGCCGGGTCTGCCATTCTTATAAGCGGTGCACGACTTACATGTCGTAGAGGCGCTGGGCGCCCTGTTCCAGGTTGCTTTGCTTCAGGGCCACCTGGACAGGCAGCCGCGTGGCAGCATCGGCAGGCTCGCCGCGCACATAGTGCTGGCGAGGCACTTCACGCTTCTCGTGGACAACGTGGCTGTCGGCGGGGAAGCCGAGAGCCCCAAGCACTAGGGTCAAGAGAATGATGCTCTTCATTTTGAGATGGGGGCTGCGCGATCGAAGCTGAGCTGAAGAATGCTACGCTGAGTGACACAACCACCAAGATCAGCGGGAGCAGCCCTTTATACGTCGCCTCTTTCGGACGGTAGTGCGACCCGGGCATCGTCATTTCTGGTACTGTCGCGTTCCTGATCGTGTTCCTGACTAGTGACCCGGATGGATGGCCCGAGAGATGTCTCTGCAGAGTTGATGTGACTTGCCTATTTGGGTCGGCTGCGTCCGGGCAACACCGGGTACATTTGTTCAGCTACGGGCACGGGAGGGTCCGTGATGGATTCATTTAGGATTCATTCAGGGGAGCCGCGATATGTTCCTTGGTGACCTTCCTCTTTGACGGGACGGATCCTCTCCGCCGCCCCACGGGGAGCAGCCCTTTTTGATCTGGGACATCCATACGAGCTAATAAGGCGTGCTCCGTATCGCGCTCCCTGCACGGAACAAACAATCAACTCTCTTGGAGTCTTTTCCCTTTGGCGCTTTGCTGAAATGAAGACGGGGATACTTGAATGCATGCGAATCACGCTGCACGCTGGCGGAGTCCTCGGGCTCCCCAGTTACCCCAGAGTTCTAGAGCAATTTGGTTGAGGAATCCGCAGCGGCACTCTTGTTGCCGCCTTCTTTCTCACCACATTGCAGCAAGATCCATAAATTTCATGACGAGGATATTCGCGGTTCATGGCCATGCCCAGTCGCCATGAGCGTCGAGACGCCTCATCACGAAGGAGGCGGCACGCGGGTTTCTGCCGCTCTACCAAATGTCTCGGGAATTCCCGTGCCTGAAAACCAGATCTCCAAGTCGCGGCGGTTCGATCGACTGGTGTCTTGGCCACCGAGGGCCAAGCCGCAGGGGTGTCTAGCGTGGCAGGAGGGCTGCAGGCTGCGCATCCGTATCCCGAGATGGCTTGTCCACAGAGGTGCTCCACGACAGCGCGGGGAGCGCCACTGGAACTTTTCAACGTGGTCCTTCTTGCTCTTTGGGAAGGTGATGGAAATAATGGATGAATGTATTGACCCCATACTGATAGCAGCCGAGTCTGCGCGGGGGGGCAAAAGTCCTGACAATCTGGGGCCATGACATCTCCAGCACGTGGCTTTCCTCGCATATATCAGGCCTTTTCGTTGGGATACTACAGCAGGGGTACATGTTGTTAGTGACATGGTTTAAGCTTGAAACATGTTTTACGCCTTGCCAGTGAATGCAGTGCATACGACGGGTGCAGATTTGCTAATTCGTACTTGCTACGATTCAGGGACTTGCCTCATCGCCGCCATTGTCCCGACGGTAGCCGGCATTTAGCGACGGCTACTGTCATGTCCCACAGCCTGAATGTTGGTCTTTGCATCAAGCCAAGGTTGCAATGTTGTAAATTTCCAGCGTGCTCTAACTATATCTTTATCAATTGTTCTAAATTTACTACAATTGCCACGGTTCATCTCCGTCTGCAGCATTAGCATCCGAAACCCTACGGCAGTGGTTCTTGTGGCCCGCGCCATTCTTTGCCGACACTACCCTGCAGCAGACACGAGAAACAACCAACATGTGGTGCAACTCAGAGTAGCCGAGCGTTGGCTCGGATTGTCCTTGAAAAGTCGACCATACATAAAGATGGGTGATTTTGAACATGTCTAGTTCAAGGCAGGGTAGAAAATGAGCAAAATACCATTCAACGTGGCAACTTAATGGACCATGTAACTGAGTCCTTATTTACAGCATGTACATCCCATCCCCTACTTCGCCCTCTAACCGGTATAATTGCAGTAGACATCGTTACCGCTCGTCCCGCAGTCGGTAAGAACCTGTCCAGCCTGGGTGCGGAGGTCAATGACGGTGCCGCCACGGGGCGTAATCGAGCCTTGGCTGCCCGTCGCCGACGCGTTGGTAAACGTGACGCTCCCGAAATCCGCAAACGGGACCTGACTGTTGCCCTGCTGAAAGTCCTCGACGATCCACTCGGCGTTTGTCTCGCACAGCGTCGACGGCGGGCTGGTGAACTTGTGGGAGACGGTCTGGCCGGTGCTCAGGTTGTGCAGCAGGGCGACGCCGGCCGTCTTGGACGAGGCGTCGACGCGCATCTGGATGCTGTCGCCGACGCTGACGGCGAAGCCGGCGAAGCTGTACGAGTAGTCCGGGATCCACTCGTACCACGCGTCAAAGGAGCCGTCGCCGTAAAACGAGATGCCCGTCTGCAGGATCGCGCTCTGGCACGTGTCGCCGTCGATGCCGACCCATGCCGACGCCGCGCTGTCGGCCGCCCCAGACACCTGCGGCACCACAATCGTGCCCTGCACGTGCGTGAACCCGCTGCCAATCTGCACCACGCCC